TGAGCTACTCTTTTACCAACGAATAGTGGGATTGACCGTCTTTAGTGGGAGCCGCCTCTGTTTCAAGGACTGAAATACTGCATATCAAGAGTGCAATAATCAACGTTTTGTGTGGTCAAGAATACGCCTACGAAAAATAGTAGCAAGACTCCATGTTTCACTAAGAGCTGTACACAATCATCTGAAGAATGTATGTGAAACCAACAATGTTAATTATAAAAGTGGTCGATTAAGGAAACCGAAACTCTCCAAAAGCGATGATGAGCATCTTAGGATGTTTTTATGAAACATACGACGGTCATATACAGAGCTTATCAACAACCTTGCTGTGAATGCAGATATGAATGTAACCTCCAGAATAGTAAGACACACATTAACATGAAGTGGTCTTAATGGATATGTAGCTATGTGCTGAGAAGAGGTAACCAAACCAAAAAGTTTAACTTTTTATCCGACCACAAATAGTACAATAAGGAAAGTTGGAGGCGTGTACTCTTTATAAATGAATTCAAGTTCAAATTGTTTAGAAATAACCAACGATAGTTTATTGGACGGTATAGGAAATAATGTATATCATAGTCAATGTACATCACTAGTGAAGCATGTTGGAGGATAACTACAAGTTTGGAGATGCATCTTAATCATTGACCTACACTAAATTGATGGTACTCTGACTGCTGACAAGTACAGGTGAATTCTAGTTCATCGCGCCATTCTCTCTGGACGATAATCATCTGGCAGGGATTCACTAACCGGCAAAAAGCGATACCAAGCATACAGAAAATGTGGTGAAACGATATCTTGACTTTATAGAAACCGATAGTATATTCACAACCATAGCTTGGTCTGCACAAAGTCCTAATATTAAAGATTCTTGACGCTAGACTGTATTGGTTTATTTAAAATTGAGAAGGTCAAAAGGACAAAATAACTTGGCTAAATTTTGAAGAACAATACAGGACATTTGTAACAACATTTTAAAGATGTACATCAGTAAACTGTATAAAACCAGGAAAACAAGGTACGATGCTCTGTGTAAATCAAAAAGTTGACATATAAAATACATGTGTATTGTATAATTTGTTTGCTGCACTTTTGCGTTTCCATTGGTAATGATTTATACTGTTAGTGAATTCGCCACGTAGTTGCCACTACTCGTTGTATGTGACTCCCATGCGTGTATCGCTTGTATATTTCCATTGCAGCTAAAACAGAGAGAGAGACGTTTACGTATGTCTATATTTCAAATAGGGAAAGATTGATGTGTGTGTGCACAGTTCAAAGACAGACAAAAGCTGGTGTGTGTAAGTGTCTATGTCTAAGAGAAAGAAGCTGTTACCGCAGATAAAAGGTACTCCTAAAGATACAGGTTGGTAGCTAAAATATGCACATTGGTAAGAGACACGCCTAAAGTCGACAAGAAGTAAATACAAATACCATTACGTCTGCTGACCTCGCCTTCTAACCAAAAAGTCAGCTTTGTTGATTGGTTATAACATTGTAGGATTTTTTGCAGTAATCCAATTGATAATGAGTTGTGTTTTTTTTATAAATATCTCAGTTTTCTGTGAACTAAATATAAATGTTGAAGCTGTTTTTTAAGTTGGATATCTTAACGCGTAGAACAGTTGAGCTAGAATGGAGCTATGTGCTAAGATTTTCAAAGTAAAAAGCAACTTCAATGTTTATATTCTGTTCAAAAGAAACTCGGATATTTATAAAAGTAAAAACTCAATCCAAACTGGATTACTACAAAAAGGAATAAAACCCTACACACACACACATATATTTATATATATATATAACAATTTTTTAATATTTAGATGTGGATGACATTTAAGTATATATTTTTACCAGTATATTCTGATGAAGAAATTTTGATTGGACTAATGTTTAATGTTAATTTAACATTCAGCACATACTTCGATCACATTTTACTTTTTTACACATTTTTGTGGATCATATTTTTATTATAGTTATAGATGAATGTATATATATTTTAAGTTTTTAACGAATTTATTTAACTTATCCAAAGCTCTTCTGATAAATGTACCAAGTGTACCGGCAGTTAATTGAATATAGTTACACACACAATAATAATTATTAATTTTTATTAGATCTGTTTCGCTGTATTGGTGGGTAAACACATAACAGAAATAAAGAAAAACAAGGTCCAAGAAATCAAACAAGTAAGTAAAAAAAGAAACACTCCGATTGAGTTATTGTCTAATTAACTTGTTTTATTCGACTTAGATAGCCTTAAGTGTCGAACGTCTCGGGATTATTAGAGCAAATACACGAGCAGACTCGACAAGGGATAAAGATATAGTGATTAAATATTGACGATTATTAAGTAAGTATAAAATCCAAAAGTTGTTGGTATAAACCGTATAACATCTACATTAGCATGCCAAGGATCTAGTTTACTATTTCTCCTCGTCAGGGATATGCCAAGCAGTATTGTACAACTTATTTACTTTATAAATTAAATGATAAGTTATACTGGAAGTGACTTCAACAACTTTGTTAGGAGTAGAAGATAGTTAAGGAGACAATGGATTATTTCACTATGGTTTAAGTTCGTTCTTTTTTTTAACAATAAATCAAGCTTCAAAAATTCCTTGCTTTTAAAGCTAATCTCCGTACATGGTGTTAAGATAGCCTGGTAGTTTAATATCATGATCTTCATTATAAGCTTCTGTTAAAGTTGAATGAAATGTATGGCCTAACTTTAAGGCTTTCGTTTATTTTTGAGTTTTTTTCCTATGTTCTATGTGATTGACTTTATAAAATTTTCACAATTATTGTTGTTGTTGTTTGTAATTAAGCACAAAGCTATACAATGGGCTATCTGTGCTCTACCCACCACGAGTATCGAAAGCCGGTTTCTAGCGTTGTAAGTCCGCAGACATACCGCTGTGCCACCGAGGGGCTCACAATTTTATAAAGTACAATAAATAACAGGTTATCGACATTATTTAAGAATTTTTACCAACAAAATGAAATAAAATATTTTGTTGATTCTTAGTGATTTTATGGCTACTTGGGAACCCCCTTTACGGAAGATATGGCTAATAGGTTCTGGAACACCTTTTACAAAAGTCAAAATAATCAAGGGTATTTCAAATAATAACGACTTGAAAGAATAATGAGGAAATTAATTTGCACTCTCTTTATCATCCTTACCTGACAAATCTTTACATTCTTAGTTGTTGACTTTTCGTAGTTTGAAACTGATAAACAAGAGAAATGGTAACTAGTCAACAGCATCCATCGCCATCCATGGTTGAGTTACTCTTATATGACCGAACAATGGTATTAACCGTCACATTTATATCGCACTCACAGTCCCAAAGTGCGGAGTACATTTTTGCGGCAACAGACCGCGAATCATAAGCTCTTGGAAGTGCATAAATTCCACGTATGTCAAATGGTTCTTTTTCAGCTCTACGAAAATACAACGTAAACAACTGAAGATGTTTGATTTTCATCTCAAAGAATTCGCATGAAACCTACTCATTTATCATAACATAAAATCCACTCATTTATCATAACATAAAATCCACTCATTTATCATAACACTTAAACGGTTTTAAGTCACTTGTTTACTAAACACAATAAAATAAAGCATGCATAAAACATTATGCGCGATGTTTTCACTAAAAAGGTTAATTTTTAATCTGGTAACATATTGAAATTTATTGCAGAACATGACTATATTGCAGGAGTTTACCAAGAAAAACAAGTTAGAATATATATACTTTTTAGTTTTATGAGATCAGGCATTCCTAAAAAATCAAGCCTCGTCTTGAAACACTAAAACGTGTCTCTAAGAAAGTCATGATAACTGTCCAAGATAAGTATCATATTTCCACTGTCTTACAAGTACGTAGGGATAAAATTTGGAATATCTTGTATTGATTTACAAAAATCATAAGTAACATATTCCACTGTCTTGCAAGTGCGTAGAGCTAAAATTTGGAACATCTTGTATTGATTTACAAAAATCATAAGTATCATATTCCACTGTCTTACAAGTACGTAGGGATAAAATTTGGAATATCTTGTATTGATTTACAAAAATCATAAGTGGCATATTCCACTGTCTTGCAAGTGCGTAGAGCTAAAATTTGGAACATCTTGTATTGATTTACAAAAATCATAAGCAACATATTCCACTGTCTTATATATTTAGAGCTCAGATAGTGAAGCTCAATCCACGAAAACATATGTTTTTGATTTTATTATTCCTTAAATGAGCCTTACAGAAAAATATGATGCGTTTTTATTACGATAAAAAAGGAAATTAACCTTTGTCCTTGGCACTTATTCATGTGATTCGATAGCTTGAACCCAAAGTTGCACATAAACAGATACAAACTACAGGTAACAGACTGCGATTAATTTAGTTTGGCTACCTTTGACGTACCCGCTTAATAAAATAAAAAGTTTAAGAATCACCGTTATAAAATCCTACTTATTGACTCTCTATTCTACAACGACTACATTGCTCATTTAAACTCACCTTCCAAGAAACCTGAAGAAAATAATAATTCAAAGTAATATCATAAGTGACATGGTAATAAACTGATAATATTCTGGGTGTTTCAAAAGTCATTTCTGCTAATCAGACTAGTACTTTCAAGAAACCGATGGACACAGTGTTGTGATATTCGGTCAGTAGACCGACTTGACTTTGTAGAGAACAACGTACGCGTTGCATTGACTTGTTCAAAACTGCCTGAATATGACTTGGTACAATACGATGTTCTTTATACCCTTGTGTACGTTGTTTTCCGTATGATCGAATTAATTTCAACACCAAATTTTACAATACTCTGCTCAACAGATTCCCGAGCACAGTCTTCTTGACGGCGGAAGTGACTTTGTATTATTACGGAATGTATATATTCAAGTTTCAGGATTCACAGACCAGTAATTGAAAAAATAAATTGGATTAATATATATATATTATAAACTTTTGTTCCTGACGTTATTTTGTACGTTTTTCGTAAAAACAGAGAATAGTTTATACAGGTTTTACAAATGTCATGTGTCATTTTTCCTGCAAGACGCACCATCTACCAACACCTCCATCACTTCACCAAAACCGAATTCAGTACGATGATGATAGGCAACATTCATATTTCGACCTACCAGATTATGGTAGTCACCCAAAAAGTGACCATTGTAGTCCCAGAAGACTTGGTGGTCATAAAAGAGAGACGAGACCTTTTAACTATCAGTACAGAAGAAAGGACACCCAAATGGTTTCTTTTCAACGAGATGAGCACTCTGGTCCAGAGCAGGCCTACGATCCACGTCACCACTATCAAAAGCCATACCAAAATCCAGAATACAATTTCAGTTGCCGCTACCAAAAACCTAATCCCGATCTTCATTGCAGTTCCCGTCCTTTCTGTGATAGCTCAAATCTACACGTAGAATACGAATCCCGTTCCCAATACGGAAGGCCTAATCTTGAACCAGACTATGATCCTAGAGGATGGAATAATCAAGGTTTCATTGCAGACAGTGAAAATGATCAGCAAAGTAAGTCAACTATGTTAATAAACTAAGTATATTTTACACACATTCACCTATTTGTAGTCTTGATTCCTTGGTACACTCATAAAAAAGTTTCTTTCATTTTCTAAAGAGTGATATTTAGCTTTATAATAAAAGTAAAGTAAACAATATTTCAGGTTAATTTTTATGGTAACTCGACTCGCATTCTGTGGGTCGCGGGTTCAAATCCCCGTCACATCAAACATGCTCGCCCTTTCAGCCGTGGGGGCGTTATAATGTGACGGTCAACCCCACTATTCGTTGGTAAAAGAGTAGCCCAAGAGTTGGCGGTGGGTGGTGATGACTAGCTGCCTTCCCTCTAGTCTTAGACTGCAAAATTAGGGGACGGCTAGCGCAGATAGCCCTCGTGTAGCTTTGCGCGAAATTCAAAAACAAACTTGCCGTAACCACCTGGCCATGCCGGGCCTAGGGACAGTTAAAGACTATAATGAAAAATTGGTTCATAATGCAAGTTGAAATTAAGAATATATTTGGAGATGAGTATATTGAAACACATTCTTAAGAATACCCAAAATACATTTAATTTTTAGAATATGTCTAATCTTAAGATAATTTGTTTCAAAATTGCGATTTAGTTAACTCTAAAAGAAAATTTTAAGTAACCTTTCAATGTTTAATATATCACCCATTACGATAAAACATACTGATTCATGTTCAAGATTGTTGTACTAATTTACAAAGACTCCGTGATCCGAAGTGTTTCCTCAGTCGAACTACATCTCATTATCTGAGAATGTTGGTTGTCTATTAGCGTTCCTCTTACTCGAGCACGTAGTGGAACACAGGACTTATAATTTATACATATAGATAACATGAGATCGTTTTACAGCAGGAATTCTGTCCTTAACTCTAAAACACTACTCCGAATTCTTAGTTTGGTTTGAAAACAATTCTCATTTCAACCTATGGACTTCCTTATTACTCTTCTCAGAACTTGCAACGGAAAGTTGTTCTTCAATAAAACAGAGCCCTCTGGTGACACAGCGGTAAGTCTATGGACTTATAACGCTAGAAACCGGCTTTCGATACCCGCTGTGTAGCTTTGTGTTGAACTACAAACAAACAGTAAAACGGTTTTAATTTTCATTAGTTTTAAGTGGAGGACAGTAATAATAGGTATAAAATTATGGAGGGGCGTTAGCTGTTAACTACCACATACAATAGATTAAGTATATACATCGCCCCCTACTTTCTTATACCAATAATTACTGTCGTCCCCAGAGCACGTGGCCAGTAACAGTCACTTTTTCAAAAGTCCTTCTTAACCTAAGGAGGTCGAAAGGTTACTTTTTTATTCTTTAAATAAAACTTTAGAATAACATTTTTTTTGTGTGTGTGTGAGAGTTTATTAATGCTTCTTCTGCACCGTTAGAAGTATTACAGGATTCAGGTTTTCCGTTGAGCTTCTGGACACAATTCAATCTATTTTCAGATATGATTATACACATATCAGAAAATGCTGAATCTTTTAACGAAGTTGGAAAGTCTTGCAATTTTCTGTGAAATATTTAAATAAATGGAACTACGTCTAAAAAAAAAAGAGAGACAGTTTTCGTGGGGAGGTACATACTGAAAATGTTAGGCCTTTAGCTGACACTGTCTTACTTTCTTTTAGAATTTGATGGAATTACTTGTAAACTTTTTTTCCTGCCATATGGAAGTTTGTAAACGAATTCGTTGCACAAACTTCCATATCTAATCGATAATGACAGCCTGCCATTGAATAGGGTTAATGATGTATATTATTATAAAAAGAAACTGTTAACATTGTATATTCAGCACTAAAACATATATAATCTAACAGCGTAAAAGTATACGTATTTAGACATGGTTAACTAAACAAAAGAACGAAAAGTTGGTTCTAAAAAATGGAGTAGACCAGTGTACAAGTTGCATAAGTTATATTAAAACGATTTTGTAGCCACACCACATCGTTACATTTCATGTCGCCACATCTGTTCTTACTTTAACTGACGATTGTCTAACCTTACAATAGCCTTGGGGCGTAGTTTCAATTGCAAAAGGCTCCGTCGTGAACTTGTCAAGTTCAAAGGACACCCCTCCTCTTTGCAGGCTTTCCACAATCCATCTACTATACGAGGACGATTGTTTCTCAACGCCCGTTTCAACTGTACAATTGCACAGAAATCAATAGACAACTTCACCGGTATGTCTTCGTATGATGCTTGAGGTATGTGACAGTGGAACGGATATGTCGTGGAAGCAACTTGTGTGTATACGTGGTTTGAGTCGCTTTTACAACAGGAAATCCTTCATGATAATATTGTGTTCTGTTGCCTGGAACATGTGGTCAGCTTTTTACACTAATCTTTCTGTTCGTGGATTCTTCGAACAGGGCACTGCACTTTGCTTACCATGGCTGGCGTACGCTTGTTGCAGATCTCTTTCTGAATAATCCTGGTGCCCTAAGTTGATCCATATCCCTTTGTTTTCCATTGCCGTTAATTATAGAAGGATAACCCTGTCTTGGAAAACCTAAATTCCTGATCTGAACACATCTTTATTATCCGAGTGTATTAATATTTTTCGTCAGAAAGACCGACTGTTACATACCCTACCGAAAGCGATCAACTTTTGGTAGCATCGCACTACCTACGTAACGAAAACAAAGTCAAAATATAGTTCTGATACATGACTTTCCACCGCAACTTTATATTGGCTGTGATTGTCACGTGGTTTGCTGATTTGCATATTTAAAATCGTTTT